GCAGAAGGAGAGGGAGAAGCAGGCTCCCCGCTGAGCCAAGAGCCCGACATGGGGCTTGATCCCAGGACCTTGGGATCATGACCTGAGCCAAAGACAGTTGCTTAAACATCTGAGCCACCCAGGCTCCCCTCTTTCATATAATTTAAAAGGTTTCTTTTTGCCAGTTTTTATAGCAGAAAATTTCAAACAAACACAAAAATGAATGATAATGAATCCCTATATACTTATCGCCTAAAGAAATGTCAAAAGGGAAAACTTTTTTAAGCTTTATTTTATTCCTCTAGGTGTCCATTGATGGAAGTGAAAGTGTAACAGGTACTGGAATGATTGGAGAAAATGAGCAAGAGAAAAAAATGCAGGTATGTAAAGCTACTTTTTTTATAGAAGAATCTCTTTATCTTAGCATTTCAAGGCCCTTCTGTGAATGAAAGCAAGAATAGCCAACTCACTACCTCTGTAGGAAAATCTTTTCAGAGAAAGAGTGTACGTATTAGGCAGTAGCTTTCTCGAACTACCTCCGGGCTCAGGATTCACTATGGATGCAAAGTGGCACTAAAGAAACAGAAGTATCCCAGAAATCCGAATAAAGTCTGTGTTCTGGAATCTGAGGCAGTTGTGGAGACCAGAGGATCTTCTGACTGCCTCCACCGAATGCAGTTTGTGGATCCTTCCTCTGGGGCCCCACCGTTACTTTGACTAACTCACCCTCCCTACTTTGCTCTTTATGTCTCTGTTTCTTCTGCTTCCACCTGATTCCCTACATACTTTCCTTTTCAACCTCGTAGAGAAGGTCCAGCCTTGCTGATCATCATGGTTCCTACTGGGCAAAGCTGTTTGTGCTTTTTATACCAGACTGCTTCCCAGCCTGCACATGAGTATCTGAATAGATACTCACCCTGGGTCCAGTCATTGGGCATCCATTACCCAAACAACAGCCCAAAGCAGTGCCTCTAAAAGTTGTAGAGTAAATGCAAAATAATCACAGATGCTTTCTGGGAGATATACAAGTCAGAAATCCCAAACTCGCATAATTCAAGATTCTGTTTTGAATTACGTGTTTGTGTGGGGAGTGGGTGTTTGGGTGGGTGTTTGGGAGTTATATAATCATTATAGCATATAATGCTATTCTTGCTTTAATGCTGCTCCTTATTTTCTCAGCAGTTACCTCTAATAGTTTGTTGATTGTTCCCTCATGTCAGTTGTTTGCATTCTTTGAGAGTTTTATCGTACTTAACTCCGGTTCTAAAATTATTCCTTCAGGGCCACAGTTTTAACTTGAGCATTATCATCACCACTTAATAACATGGAGTGATACTATTAGAAGTTATCAAGAAGATTTTACATTTATAATAGTAAATGATAAAATAACAGGAATCACTGAAATCACTGGTAGAAATGTGATACTTCTAAACATTGCTGAAGAGTCAGCATTTCTGTTTCCTCTCTGAAGTGGTATCATGAAGGGGCAGTAGTATAAACACAGTTTGCAATTCACCAAGCCCATCAGCTTTGATGCTGTGTGATTCTTGGTGAAATTTTCAAGTCTTTGAAGTCATAAAATGAGAAATATTTTTTGTACTGCAGTATGTCAAATCCACCGAGTCAAGCTCTACTAAAATGCAAATGTGGTATAAATATATTCAAGAGATGTAGGTCAGTGCCTTGGAGTCTATCTCTTATTAGTGACTAACAATTAAGTTTTTAAATAATGGAATATTTTTAAAAAGAGACAGTTGTAGCTACACTTGCAATAAACTAATATAGAATGGGTCTTACAAAAAATGAGTAAATTTATCACTGGGCTGTATAATGTTATACTGTTATCATAAAAGTCTGTCTATTACTGGGGCACCTGGGTGGATCAGTCGGTTAAGTGTCTGCCTTCTGCTCAGGTCATGATCCCAAGGTTCTGGGATGGAGCCCTGTGTTGGGCTCCCTGCTCAGCGGGAAGTCTGCTTCTCCCTCTACCCCTCACCCTGCTCGTGCTCTCTCTCACTCACTCTTTCTCTCTCTCTCTTGCTTCGCTCTCAAAAACATAAATAAAATCATTAAAAAAAAGGTCTGTCTATTACCATCAATAATTATTTCTGAATCCAGAAATATAACTAGGAATTCAGTACTGCTGAAGGAAAATGTCATAAAAAGCCCTATTACTACAAACATATAACCATTTGGTGTTGGTGCCAATAGACAGAGAAACAGAAGGAAGTTGAATAGGATTTTTTTGGTAACTGTAGCTTTTTCTCCTTTGCCTTTTGTACCTCTCCTTTACAGGCTAGATCTACGCTATCCAATATGGTAGCCACATGTGGCTACTGAGCCCTTGAAGTGTGGCCACTCAGAATCAAGATGTGCTGTGAGTGTAAAATACATATAGGATTTTGAAGACTTATTATGAGAAAAAGAATGTAAAATATCTCAATAATTTCTCATATTCATTACATGTTGAAATGATAATACTTTAGACATATTGGGTTAAATAAAAGAATTACTAAAATTAGTTTTACCTGTTTCTTTTTACTTTTTAAATGTGGCTACTAGAACATATATATATATATACATATATTATGTTCAGTTAGCCAACATGTAGTACATCATTGTAGAACATTTTTTTTTTAAAGTAGGCTCCAGGCCCAATGTGGAGCGCAACACGGGGCTTGAACTCACAACCCTGAGATCAAGACCTGAGCTGAGATCGAGAGTTGGATGCTTAACTGACTTAGCCATGCAGGTGCCCCAGAACTTTTTAAATTATGTACGTGGCTTGCACTTGTGACTTCTATTTCTCTTCATTAGTGTTGGACCGGAAGTTCATGAATCCTCCATCCTTTCATACAATTTCGTACCATACTTGAGGTTGAGAGCCCAGTACATAGTATTAAAAGGTCAAAATATCCCAAAAGAACCACTGCAAGTAAGCAGCACCTTCTCTTGGTACTCCTATTTCTGCCAGAATGCTGAAGAAGTTAGAACTCTGTGCCTGGCTGAACTTTAAATAAAGAGATCTGTAGCTAATGCAGTAGATTTTTTGTAAATAGTCTTGTCTCACAGCTCTAGATTTTTTTTCATCTGAGGCTTACAGTTTAGAACTCTTTCTTTCATCTGTAACATAAACATACTAATTGTGCTGCTGAGTTGATCTCTTAACATGAAACCAGGTTTCATAAGACAAGACAGACCTAGAGTATCTAAAGCAGCTGTCCTTATGGGGGGACAGTTTTGCCGCCCCCACCAGGAGACATTTAGCAATGTCTGGAGACAGTTTTGGTTGTCACAATTGGGGGAATATTACTGGCATGTAGTGGGTAGATGTCCTGCAAGCATATGACAGCCCCCACAACAAAGAATTATCCTGTTCAGAATGTCAGTAGAGCCAAATTTGAAAACCCTGATCTAAAGTACTCTATTTAAGGACGTCTGAGTGTTCATTTGTGAGAACCGTAAGGCTGATGGGGTGGGTATTTGGGGGAGGCTCTGACTGCTGTCGTTGTCCTCATGCTGTACCACCCTTAGTTAAGTAGAAAACAGCGTGGTATTAAAGTAGCACACATGTATAATCAAAAATCCACGTAGTTTCTACTCTGCCATGTAGTAGCTGTGTGAATGAGCAAATTATGTGACTTCTCTGGATCTGGGCTTTCTCATCTGCTAAATGAGAATAACAGTAATCTTGCCTTACCCATCTCATGAGGTTATGAAAACCAAGTGAGATTTTCATTTGATGAATATTTTAAGGAACACATGAGAACATAATTTGCAACTGTGTAAGTATTATACAACGTTGTTCCTGCTTTACATGTTCTCGCTTTTTTTCATGGTAGCCATTGGTTTATTTTAACTTCATTTGAAACTAATTGTATTTACATTGGAGATCAAAGTTCTTTGGCTTGGTACTTTATTTGTTTTTATTTTTTATTTTTTTTTAAGATTTTATTTATTTGAGAGAGAATGAGAGAGAGCACATGAGAGGGGTTAGGGTCAGAGGGAGAAGCAGACTCCCTGCCGAGCAGGGAGCCCGATGCGGGACTCGATCCAGTGACTCCAGGATCATGACCTGAGCCGAAGGCAGTCGCTTAACCAACTGAGCCACCCAGGCGCCCCAGGCTTGGTACTTTTAATCAGTACTCTAATAGAAAGTACAGAAAGCCAGTCAAATCAGCTTAGGGAAAACGAGATATTGTAAGGATATAGCAGAGCTTATAAGAAGCCAAGAACAGGAACTGCTGGACAGCCAGGCTTCACAGGAACCAGAATTGCAAAGAAGTCAGGATTGGAGGTTGATCTCATTCCTTTTTTTTTTTTTTAAGAGTTATTTTTTTTTTTTTAAGATTTTATTTATTTATTTGAGAGAGAGAATGAGATAGAGAGCATGAGAGGGGCGAGGGTCAGAGGGAGAAGCAGACTCCCTATTGAGCAGGGAGCCTGGTGCGGGACTCGATCCCGGGACTCCAGGATCATGAGCTGAGCCGAAGGCAGTCGCTTAACCAACTGAGCCACCCAGGCGCCCCAATCTCACTCCTTTTTCTTCCTCCTCCCCTCTTCCATGGCATCTCTGCTCTCTTCTCTGTAGACAGGTGTCCTCTTTGTCTTCATTGAATTTGCATATAGCTCATCACAGCCATGCTTGCTCAGGTTTACCACCCACAACCAACTCAAGATTTTCCTTTATTTCTTAGGTCAAATTCCAGGGAAGGAAATTTTATGGACTTAGCTTGATTTTTAAGTTGAGCCCCATGAGGTATAGGTTACTGGCCAGCCTATACACACCATCTGTTCTGGTTATCAGGCTCTGTGGCTGGCGTGGCAGATTCTCCCAGAACATGGGTTAGGTGATTACCCCCAAACCTGCCTGTATATATAGGCAGTTGAATGTGGATCATATTTCATGCATATTTTCTGTACTTTTATCTGGCTATGTGATCTTGGGCAAACGAACCTTGCTTTTCTAAGCCTCTTCATCTCTAAAAGGCAGGTATTTGATCAGTGATTATTAATAAGGGGCAAACATGAGATTGAGCTACAGAGCTTTTTTTATTTATTAATTTTTTTAAAGATTTTATTTATTTATTTGACAGAGAGAGACACAGCCAGAGAGGGAACACAAGCAGGGGGAGTGGGAGAGGGAGAAGCAGGCTTCTGCTGAGCAGGGAGCCTGATGCGGGGCTCAATCCCAGGACCCTGGGACCATGACCTGAGCTGAAGGCAGACGCTTAACCAACTGAGCCACCCAGGTGCCCCTGAGCTACAGAACTTTTAAAAAATAGCCCATGACGGGGCGCCTGGGTGGCTCAGTCGTTAAGCGTCTGCCTTTAGCTCAGGTCATGATCCCAGCGTCCTGGGATCGAGCCCCGTGTCAGGC